CTTCATAATTTGCTCAGCAAATGAATCAATACGAGCGTCAGGAGGGTCGTCCATTTGTGGGCGGGCGGGCGTGGTGGGCGTTCGGGTCGGTATGTTGTGGCTTGATAGGGCCCTTATAAGGGCACCTTCCTTGGAAAAGGCGCTATGCAGCGCCTGCTCAGGGTCGCGGAATTCCGTCCTGCCAGGCGTATTAATCCTCTCTTGGGGATTTATCGTGCCAACTGCCTTTAAACTCTCACGATTGGGTGCGCGTCTACCACGTCTGGTAACTCGCTGAAATCAGTGAACTATGAGGATAATTAACAGCCCATATAAAGTCGTGAGTGTAGGTGTTCATGTTCCTTGATTTCTCCAATTTTCTTCATACTCATGTCTCCAAGTTGGGGATGGACCGGCTGCGTAAAGCCATGATTTCTGCAAATGACAGAGCGTGTGACGGGCGTGGATTGAAGCGCAGCCGGGGCAGCCCTTTTCACCAATGATAGCATCCTGAGTGCGCCACAAGTGGCGGAGAAGGCTGTTCTGGCTGCTATCCAAAAGTCCTTCACTTGCCTTATCGTTTGCAGGAATAGTGATGCACTTAGTTCGGAAGCGGCAATAGCTACGCTTTTAGTGAGATCTCGCCTGGATGGCAGTGATATACAATGGAAATATCACTCGATATGTTACGCAACTTACAAATGAAAAACGCAGCCAAGTCCTCCCTATCGATGGGATATGGCTTTTCTCTGCAAGAAACGGGCGCAGTTTAAGGAATCGAGTTCAAGTAGTTCATAGACCGAATATGACCATGTGTCTGAGTCTTGTTCGCTAGGAATGAAGGAGCGTGCCAAGGGGATGGGTTTGGCGCGGTGCCAAACCCGTTTTCCAGCAGTTGTTGGAGCGAGCAAGTGATAAGACTGCATCATATGGTTCGTATCAATCATTTTCCACCAACTATTGTCGCTTACTTCCTCTGAACAACGGTGGAGAGCGGGTCTGGCTCCGCGCCAAACCCATCCCCTTGACACTCCCCTTCATCCGCAACGAACAACAGTGAAAGCATATAGTGATTGCCATCAGTCGGCGCCGAATCAAAATATCATTTCTATCGCGTGGACCATCAAACATCTCTTGGGAAAATTTCCAGCGACAATATTTTTTGGCCCGCTGATGTTGTCGCAATCAAACACCGTCAAACTAGACACTATTTCAGTGCAACCTGGTCGTAAAATAAAATGTATGTAATGTAACTAAAAACATAGTATCAAAGTGATCGTTAGACGGAAACAGGTTCTACCAAACGATGTAATCACGTTCAAGGCCTGATCACCGCTGCCGTTCGGCCATGAACCTTCCCTAACTTTTTCAATAGGGTACTTGAAGCACGTTGTGACGTCACAATACTTGTAAGCCAACTGTAAACTTCGCTCCTTGGGAAAGTTCTCGGTGCTAACGTATCTGGGGGGGGGGGGGCACTCGGCTCTCGGCCAGTGATGACTCATTGGTCGATGGCCGCGTCGACATACTAATCTAGCAGCAAAATTAGAATAAAACAAACAAGATTCACCGGAAACTTGCTGAGAAATCCCACAGAAACTGAAAACAACATTGTATGATCTTTTGTAGTCAAGAACAGCGGTCTACAACAAAAAAGCAACAAGTTTAGGCAAAATTTTTTCCTGTCCACAACTGTTTTTTCGCATTCTTCAGAGTTAACTGTTTTATCTTTTGAATATAGCTAGGACAATCTTATATCTATGTCCTAAACATGAAAAGAAGAGTCGATGAGTCATCACTGGCCGAGAACCGCGTGGCCCCCTCCAACTACGTTAGCACCAAGTTCTCTTCCCTTGCAACAGATTCGAATCGTTACTTGCTGCGGAATAATAGTGAAGTTATATGGTTTCACATTATCTTGATTAATAGGTTTTGGGCGGAGTTAGCCTTGGAGCGCATAATTGTCGTCGAGCGCGATTAAATTGCTGACGTCCATAATGGATGCCGACCGTCGCTTACTATTAACTGTTCTCATAGGTGAACTGGTAATGCTTACTGAGTACATGTGTGCTTTCAGTTGGTTTCAGTTCGTTCCATTCCTCCTGTTTGTTTTGCTCATTTGTATTGGCCGCTGTGCATGTGCGCGTTATTTATTCTGCACTTCAATACGAACGTTCTTTCGCCTTGACTCACATCTATTTTAGAATGGCTTCCAGAGAAGATATTGCTGAGGATGTCACTGAACTTATTGGTAATACTCCTATGGTCTACTTAAGAAAAGTAGGACGAGGTCTGCACGGAACAATCGGTAAATAAATTTTTAAAACCTTTAGTATCACAGAAAATCGGTACGAGAGCTTAATATGACTAACAAAATAAGAAATTCAGCTGCGAAAGCTGAGTACATGAATCCTGGCTGTTCGGTGAAAGATCGAATTGGACTGTCCATGATTCAGTGCGCTGAGGATGCTGGCAAGGTTAGTTTTTTTCATTTTATAAACCCCGTCATCAACATGTCATGGAGCATATGGTGCACGATGACACATGGGAAAGTTGCTACGTGTGATTTATTTGTTTTTCTTTCAAGGCTGTCAGTACGGGTTTTCAGGTCCAAAGGACAAAATATACGTGTCGTTGTCATCAAAATCAGTGATAAATTACTATACTTGTAAAGCATTTGTAATGTTTACAGGTTACTGGTAATGTAAGAAAAAAGAATGCAAAGGTGCATTTAGTACCTGTAGCGGGTTACTCAAGTCCAAAAAATAACTACGGGGCACCTAGGCTCCACCTCCTATTTCCCCTAGTAACCTCGACGATGACGTCATTTTCCGGTATTGCACTTGTGTAAACGAGTTGTTCAAGTGGAACACTTTACGAGCGGTCAACCAATCGGATCATATCGTTTTTCTCGAGTTCGGGCTATTACAACACAAATGAGATAACTAGTACTAAATAGTTCTTGTGAACTGTTGTAGAAGAATTGCGTATCAGTGTGACCAGTAACAACGGAGTAATGGGCACTTCAAGAAGACGATGTGGCCTGGGAACAGTTCCAATCTCCTTGACCCATGAATGGCATCTCAAATTCTTTGGAAATATTATTGTTTTCCAAATTTATCAAAAATGGTGCTTTATTAGGTGTTATGAAATCTTGATAGTACTGATGTTACTCATTGAAGATTCGTCCTGGTCTTACTACTCTCATAGAGCCGACTTCGGGAAATACTGGTATCGCATTAGGAATGGTTGCTGCCGCTAGGAACTATCGACTCATCATTACCATGCCGGCAAGCATGAGTATTGAAAGGGTGAGTCAATGTCTATTTGATTCCTGCTAATGCAAGCCCTGGTTGGCACATCGGATACCGTGTGCATTGACGTCAATGCACGTTTTAACACCTATGTCGTGCTTTTATTTTATTTCCATGCTTGCTTTTCTATTTTCTTTTATGGGTAATGGCGCTAAGGGAAATGGTTTCTTAGGAAATGTTACGACCGTTTCATTGATGTTAAAGTTTTATGGCTTCTGTAAAGCTGGGCTGCAATTTCCCCAACTTTTGGCGTTCAATTTGTCGAAATATGGCCATTCGGGTACAGTAGTCTAGGGCCAGTTCTTTGTTCCCTGTTCGCTTCTTGAGAGCTGAACCCTTGGATAGACCTTATGTTGAACTATAACTACCGCAATGGGATTGAGGACTTTTCTATGCTTAAGACAGCGTTCAGAGTGACGCGCTTCCACGCGCCGTAATGGGCTACATCGCGCTACCATTGCAATCACGCTCCGTGCTATGGAGCGGGCGCAGCCATAGACGGATATCGACCGGTGCAACCGCTACTATGGGAACGTATGGAAGAACGGGAATTACCAGACTGGGTGTTAAGGCAACGAGCACTTTCTGGTGACTCTGTCATAACACTCGGACCTGGCAGCGACCGATGTCCGACTATGGCTGCCTTCCCGCCTATAGCATTAGTGTTGCAGCGGCAGCACGCCAGAGCGCGTCGACGCGCTTCAACGCAAAGTCTGCACGCTTCCTAAAAAGTGGGGGGGGGGGGCGTGGGAATAGGGTGAGTGAACCAAGTGAAATGTACTTCGCAGTTATGCACACAGTGTCGTCCCTCGAGTGTGCCCCTCTCAAGGTTATTTATGCCCTGAAAAGTTCTGAGAGTTCTTCTCATGAGTGGTGACTAGCAGCCCTTTCGAAAGCGTTCATACTCCACAGTCGGATCGCTTGATTTGATCGCGCGACCACGACCGCGGGCGCTCCACCGCCAAACGGTGCACCGCCACATTGACACGACTCAAAATGGCACTATTTGAACGCGGTCCAATTAAAATTGCGCCGTTGCAGCGGTGCACCGCTTGGCATCGGAGCACCCTGTCGTGGTAGCGCGATCCAATTGAGCGATCCGATCGCGAAGTCTGAACACGGTCTTGGTGTTATCTTATCTTTACTGATTAAACTCCTTCGATTCTGACATTAGGACTATTGCAGTGAACGTTCCCATTTCCAGCGTACACTATTGAAAGCTTATGGAGCAGAACTTGTACTCACGGATCCAGCTCTTGGAATGAAAGGAGCTATCCAACGTGCTAACGAGCTACATCGAAATATCCCCAATAGCTTCATTCTTGCACAGGTTCCCATTATCGTATTGAATTATTCCCTGTTCAGTCGTCAAAAAAATTTCTACATGAGCTAGTTCGACAATCCATCCAATCCCCAAATACATTATCTGACGACAGGCGCTGAAATTTGGAGGCAAACAGAGGGACAGGTTCGTCTTGGCGCATCATTGATTCATTGAATTATCGTAGATTTGCGCCGAAATCAGGTGGATGCATGCGTTTTTGGTATTGGAACCGGAGGAACCATTACAGGAGTTGGCCAATTTCTCAAAGAGCAGAATCCCAATGTAAAGGTAGGTATTTCTATTTCTAAGAGTCATTGTTTTCCCCTGCGATTTCATTCCTAGTCCGCATAGATGTATGCAGTGGAACCAATGGAGAGTGCAGTGCTTAGTGGGCGTAAACCAGGCCCTCATCGTATCCAAGGTTTGTCTCTGCTGATAGTTTTCTATTATACCTTCTTGAAGCTCTGTTACAACAGTAATGTTGGTATTTCACTCTGATTCAATTTTCCCATCATCAGTATTCTTTTGTAGTGTTGCCTGCACGTTTTCTCATGTTTCCATCACCGCCCACTTACATTTCAATCGATATAACTGCATACTTTCGAATTCCAATCATGTCTCTTCACATGACGAAGGCATTCGTTGTCGACCAAACATAACAGGGATGGGTGACTCATTACGAGGGTGGCGGGGACGTAGGCGGGGTCGTATATTTGTAATTTTGAACTAGTCCTAAACCCTTGAGAGAGTGTAGGGTTTCCAGAAAGATGACCATGATGTTGAGTATTGTGACGTTGAGGAGGGACAGTAGACCCGACCTCATGGAAAACTGTCCCATCACCTCTCACTAGAGTGGCAAGTGAGAAATGTGGGCATTGCGATTTCTAAATAGGTTTCGGGTTGCACTCATCGAATATCCAAGAAGGAGGGAAGAGGTAGTGATTACAGCGCTGTTATAATATTTGTTGTGCAAATGGAATGTGTTAGCAACGTTCAGACTTCGCGACTGCAGCGCTTCGGTCGCGCGATTTAACGATCGATGCGCATGCTTTCGACTGCATCGATCGCGTCGAACGCGCGACCGAAGCGCTGCCGTCGCGAAGTCTGAACGCTGCCTTACCCCAATGACTTCATGACTTCCTTGTAGAGAGAGAGAGAGAGAGAGAGAGAGAGAGAGAGAGAGAGAGGAGCGGGGCCTTCTGGGGCAGCGATACTGAGGGAACCGTATCAGAGGCGCCAGGTTTATCACATCTGCTGACGCTTGGCGGGTCGGTATGGGTATACTAAGTGTTGTTGAGGTTCACACTTGTACAGTAAATTGCCCCCTCTCGCATTTGAAAAAGATGATTGGAATGGTTGTGGGACGTAAAGGGTAGAGCGCTACTTGGTCAAAGCAAGGAGTCATTACCCTTTTTCTTTCGACTTGCCCAATCTTCCATCATCTTTCGAAAGCTTTTCGTACAGCAAAGGCTAGAATCTCACTAGATTTTTTACTTACCCCCTTTTTGACGAGCATGCGATCCAGAGTGGACTTCGCAGCGTTCATACTTCGCGTTGACGCGCGTTAACGCGCTCTAATGCGCGTCGACGCGCTATCATCGCAACAGTGCTAATGCACTAGAGGCGGAAACAGCCATAGACGGGTATCGGTCGATGCAGGCGGCTACTGCTCCAAGACAGAATGGAAGAATAGATAGGAGGGGACGCATTGCCTAATCACGCAGTCTAGTACCCTCCTGCTCTTCTATACTCTCCCAGAATGCGATCGCCGATCGATACCCGCCTGTGGCTTCGTCCCCGTCTACAGCATTGGAGCACAGTTGCAATGGCAGCGTGTTATAGTGCGCCGACGCCCGTCATGGCGGAGTCTGAACGCTGATCTCCACTACAGTTGATAGGAACCATGCGGCGCGACGCTATCCGCTCTTCGTCCCGGAGCGACTGCTCAGTTTTGAGGCTAAACCTGCTAGGGCACAGATCATTTCGCTGCGCCACCGTGTGACCTCATCTACTACAAACTGGTACCGTTTATTTACGGTTGTAGGGTCTTTTAAGTTCATTGGTCACCTTAATCATATATGTGTGTGCTTGACACTCCTTTCACTATGTGGATTGGTTAGGCTGCGTTCATAGTTCGCGACAGGACCGAACCGATTCTCGAGTTGCGTTACCAACCACGCTCCACCGCTAACAGTTGTACCGTTGCAACATTTGGAAGAAGTTGTGCCCTGGATATGTAAATTAGCAATTGCGCGTGTCCAGCAATTAGTGTGGAGGGTGGTGATTGAAGTGAAGGAGACGTAGGCCCTACCGTGTGCTCCTCTCATTGCCGATGTCTAGCCCGCAATCAATGGCAAACCCCTTGTTAGATAAGCTTGAACGTGTTTGCTCTTTGACCTCCCTTATCTGATTCTAGGACACACCAGAACATGTTGTGATAAGACGTGCCATGATCGTCAGTCATGAAGGAATCTGAGCTTTTTTTCAGGTATTGGGGCTGGATTCGTTCCATCTGTTCTTAACACAGCCATTTATGATGACGTCATTCCCGTGCATTCCGATGAGGCAATAGTGATGGCTAAAAGGATGGCTCTGGAAGAGGGGATTTTATGCGGTAGGTATTGGAGTTTTGCCTTTTGCCATGACTTCACTAATTCCTCTACACCGAGTATTATCCACCTTGCACTGCTTAAACACAGTGGGCATAGTGTAGTTCGCTGCGGACGGTTGGGCGTGTCAGGCGGGATGAGTTTGGCGCGGTGCCAAACCCGTTCTCCACCAGTTGTTAAAGCGAGCAAATGATATGACTGTATCATATCGTTCGTATTACTCGTTTTCTACCACTTTTTGTCGCATGCGCGCTTCAACAAGAAGGCAGAGAACGGCTTTGACGGGGTGACACACTCATACTGCCTGACACGCCCAACCGTCCGCAGCGAACTGGAGTCACGTTGGTCGCTCAACCGCAACTGGAAGTAAAGTGCTAAATAGTGCGACAGTAAGGCAAAATGAGACGAAATGGGAGAAAACGCGCAAAATAGTGCTCTTTCATCCCTTCAATTGGGACATAGAACAGCCTGTGCTAAGATAGAGCTCGCAGGTGCGAGTTCATCGCTGGCGTCTTGCCAACGATGAACTTGCTCCTCTCAATGTATATGTCAAAATCACCGCAATTGCGATGTAAACGTGATAAAATACGGACTCATCAGCGACCTTAGCTGAATATTTGGAAATGAACTTGCAAAAAGAATCAAAGATCATAAAGAAATTCAACTCTGCAACAAATATGAGCACCACTTGCGGGAAAAGCTCGTAGTATGCATGAGAAAGAGTTCTCCATTACTTAAAAAACCTGCCTTCTTAGAAGGAGAACTAGCGAAAGAAAAATGTAAACCAGCTGTCAGCCCACTGGGAGTGAGAACAGCTGTTCCAATCGTGATCGATTTCCCTCACTGCGTTCGCAGTGCGCACGTACGCACACACTGTCAACAGCGCCACGTACTTATGCCGTAGGCTATGCAGCCATTTGAAGGAAGACAGTCGCTGGGAAGAGGTTGGAGATCTCAGGCCACACCAAGTCGCTTTGTGCGCGCCCTTCGTTGCAAAACGCGATGCGACTTCTGCTCAAGGAGGCAGTATTGTTTCCTTTCAGACATAGTTACCCTATGTTTCCAGTAAAATTGTCGCCTTACTGCATTTGAAATTTATTAGAAATCTTATTTGAAGGGATCTCATCCGGTGCTAACGTCCATGCGTCTTGCAAACTTGCCGCTCGTCCTGAAATGGCGGGAAAACTTATCGTTACTCTTCTGCCTAGCTTTGGCGAACGTTACCTGTGAGTGTTCATTACCTTCAACTTGCCTTTGTGGTGATTCCTTGCCTCCCATCAATTGCATTTCAGTTCAACGCCACTTTATGCAAGTGTTCGCGATGAGGCCATGGATTTGGGTGTGAATAGTCTTGAATACGACTTAAGCCGTGTAAGCCTGCCGAAGTTTCCTGTTGAAGAAAACGAAGGACCACACCTTAATCACTGAACATTCCATTTTTGCTGCTAAATAATTATTTTTTTGTGATCATTGTTCAGCCGAGTAGCACAAAACCTTGTGAACGACCAGTCTTTTTTGCAGTTCCTGTTGACCTCGTTGTGCCTTTAGTGTATGTTTTTGTGAAAATAATTTGCGTAAATTCTAAGCTCTTACAGTTTGGAGAAGCTCCTGACTCCTGTTCTGCTTTTGGGGGCGCATCCTGCGCTTGCCAGTTGTAAGTGAAGCGACTCAGGTGTTAACTTGTAAGTGCAGTGTGACCCGCTAGTGAGGAAGAAGGCAGGGGGAAGTTGTCAACATCGCTCTTAATAAGCCTTCCTTGTGGCATTTGATTTTGGCATGTTGATGATTATAAGAAGCGAGATCAAAGAGATACTGACTTATTGCGAGAGACCAGGGACAAAGGGTGAAAGAGCAGAAAGACTCGTGAGAAGGCGGACATCAAAACTACAAGGCGGACTGGCAGTATCAGGCCCAGGACGAGTCTGTGACTTCCCGCACACAGAGCTGCGAAATGTGCCTTTGCAGGTGGGTGGTGCACTGTGCATGTGGGAGAATTGTCCCAATCCTTGCTCTCATCACTTAGCACGTTCTTCGAGATGAAGGACATGCATAAGTGGCTTCTGCGTAGTATAGGGCAGTATGTCAGCCGTGCTGAACCGAACACTGCCTTTCGTATAATAATCAGAGAACGTCGCACTTTGGAGGATCTTCAGAGAGAGAGGGGGTCGTTCTGGTCGTTTGGAGTGGAGAAGGGATCATTGTTGCTTTCTTTGGTGCTTGACGTCTCTGTGTTCTTGCCGTTTCACGTGCGTCATATACCCCTACCGCTAGATGGCAGCTGGCAGTTTTTGGGAAATATTGAGGAAAAATGGTAGGGAGTTGAGGGTGTTCAGGAAGATGGTAGGTAGGATGGAGTATGAGAAATGAGACCTAAAAGAGGGGGAGATTCTAAGGTCGTATTCTGAAAACTTTTCCCCGGTACCAACTGTACTAAGTTGCCTTAGATGAATACTCACTACAAGGTCAAAGTAGAGATCCTGAAGCATGAGGTTCAAACTTCTGCGTACAAAACCCTCGAGGCATTTTGGACCCAGGTCAGGAATCCAAAAATGAAGGCGAATGTCTGTCAGTAACGTGGGAGTTAACCATATTCATACAATGCTAGATGCGGTAGGTTCGGAAGCTTCCTGTAATGTGCTGTTAGTAACTGACCTTGCATCCGATGAGTACGGTAATTTCTTATTTACGTGATGACTAAGATGGGTTCGAGGGTCTGGGGTACGGTGATTACTTATTTGTGTGATGACTAAGATGGGTTCGAAGGTCTGAGGTACGGTAATTTCTTGTTTACGTGATGATTGGGATGGGTTAGAAGGTTTCTATAAGAGGTTGAGACTTTTGGTCGAATAGTTCACAAATCGATTCCTATCCTTTCAAGCATCGAAAAAGGTAAGCTTACCGAAATGAGCGAGCCAGTATACGTTGCTTCCAACCTCAAGTACAGTTAAAGAAACAACAATCGTACAATTTTCTGAGTTTCGAAGTATCCACATGATGTTATGAACAATAGCGATAGTTATGATCCACATGCAAACGATAGGGCGTGTGAAGGGAGTGAGTTGGATCGCTGCCAGAACAGCTCTTCCCGCCAGTTGTTGTGGATTTAGGATGGCATCATTGGTGGGAAGGCCTCCTTGGCAACGCTCCAAACTCAACCCCTTCACACGCACTAACGTTTGCAGGTGTCATGACTATCGAGCGTTTTTATGCAACTACCCTGCACAACCACCATCAATAATTATGTTTTATCGGAAAGAATGCCAGTAATGCCACGTGAGAAGTAAATAATACGATAAGGAGTACATCAAAGAAATAAAGTCATCAATTATGGAGATGACAGAAGAGGCCCTTGTCATCGTCAAAAAATAAAGTCATCAATTTCAATTGTGGAGATGATAGAAGAGGTCCTTGTCATCGTTCCACCAATCGTGATTATTTCCAATGTGATGTAGGACGTAGCCCAGTTCATGGAAGAAATCTCTTTCTGAATATTCCTGAAAAGAGAAAAGGAACTATCCGACGAAAAATACTTCGATATTGATCAATCTTTCCTGAGATGCGCCATGCACTCTACTTTTATTCGGAATCAAAATCATTTTATAAGGCGATCTTGCCTCGACAGTACTTGAGCTGCCAGGCCCAATAAAAACATCTTGTACCAACCAGCAGATCCCGAAGGATGGAAAGCTTGGTTAGCCCAGATGAGAGTCGATCAGAGATTTGACCCCTGGATGATGAGCTAGTAAGCGCCGCCACTTCTCACTACACCACCTCCGCAGAAACCATTTCCGGAACCTGTATTTCGCTTTGCTCTCTGGTCCGAGTATTGAGTCTTCAAAATGAGGAATGGTGAAAGAGGCACCGCTCACATGAAGTGTGACTCAGGTTAATTATAGGGGGTTCTGGTTCAGTCCGGACTTGAGTCTGACTCATAGTGTTGCTCTGCAGAGGGAAGACTAGCACTGTTTGGACATGATAGAGTGGTAGCGGAAGCTTCTATGCGGATAGCAAGTGGTTCTATTCTTACCCAAGCCATTCCGCCCATGAGTCAAGCGAACATTGTCAGAACTGTCTGCAAACGGTACTATCACGAATACTCCTTTGATTTTGATTGAAGGATAGAAGTTGAGTGCAAGGCGTAACCGCAAACAGTCGACCATTTCATCATTGACCGTGCAATGAAAGATTTTCCGGGTTAACTGACCTTATTTACAGTGATTGCTAGCTCGAGTCCGTTGTCCAGTCGAACCAGCATCGCAGCGCTTCCAGGCATTCGGCCGTCGTGTTGCCAACCGTTGAAGCCCATGATATTTAGTGACCAACCGAGACCTAAGTGATCGCTTTTAAGCTGTCTTCTTGATGCCTTTCACGAAATTGACGCTGTACGGCAGAGTCAACATTGGTAATCATGAAGAATGTAATCAAGGACTGTTAGCCAACTCAGGGCTCCAAATTAACGCCAACTAAGGACTCTGAACTGGGGCACTTGGGCGACAGGGAGGGAGCATTTTGCACTTTCGCTGCTTCACTGCTTCCGGTTTACAAGTCTCACTCAGCCAGGTGAAAGCTGGAGCAAACTCGTCTAGCCACTGTTGTAAAACGTGTCAACTAAAAAAAGGGTATCTAGATGGATCGACACATTGATGGGAATCAAAATGCCCCCGTCGCCGAGCTGCCCCTTTCGAACTACTGTCACATGGTCTTATTTTGATACCCGCGATGGTCATTTGCGTTGTCTAGTTCTTCATTGAAGGAATGCCTCGGAACACACAGGTGGCAGCTCATTCGCTGGGGATGACTGGGCTCTTCAAAGGGGATAAGTTTGTGATTTTGTTGTTTTTTTTTCTGGTAATCACTAACCACTGTTTACAGACGTGTTCGCTAGGGATGAGGGCATGGTCTTAAGAGGGGATAAGTTTGGCGCGGCACTTCCCCATCTTTCTTTTGGTAAGCGACAAGACTGTACGTTTTTATAAGTCGTTTTCCACCTGTTGTCCTCGCTTACCTGTTTCAATAAATCCATTGATAAGCGGTTGGAGCCGTCGGGGGCGGAGTCAAACGTACTGTTAAGTAGATGTGTATCCAAGGTTGTATATGTGTAATAGCAGGTAGTGTCGAGCCAAGGTTGTATATGTCGTAATAGATGAAATCGTGTGAAAAGCTGGTATAGCTAGCAGTATATAGGGATCTTATAATGGTTCGTGTTAATGTAGTGAAATCATGGGGGTTCTGGCAAAAGAGGGCGTAGGTTATCTTGGTACGCGGGCGTGTTACGGCATGCCCCAATGCGTGGTCTCTACTCTGTCTATTGCTGCAATGCAACATGCGTGGCCATATCACGTTTCGCGCGAGATTGAGAAAAAAGGCCGCTTCGCCGAAAAATCCTGAAAAAAAATTGGTGGAGAATGGGCTGGCAGCGCGCCAAAATCCAGTCTCACACTGGAAAGTCCCATCATCCGTAGCTAACAAGACAATTTTGGATGTTTTGTAAAGGTTTTTTTTTCATGGTGAAATGGTTGCGACACATTGGAAATCAGTCTCCTCGTAATGTGATGGGAGATCACTCCCGACAGTATGCCTTCCTCATTGGTTGGGTCTATATTACTACCAACAAAGTTAGAGGCAAATGACGCGCCAGTGAAGAACGTAGAGTGGTTGCAAGTCTCTATTCATTTCTCCGCCCACCCAATCATAGTGGAATTCGTATGTAGTCAAGCAGTTTCGTAGTGTGGAAGGTCATGTATGAAGAATATGGGTAAAATAAACTACATACATGAGAGTATTTGCTGTATTACCGGTGGTCATTATACCTACTGGACATTTCCAAAAGTGTCGTTTTCAGGCGAATGGTATAAGGCTTTTCATTACCTACCGTATGTACTGTTCGAAGGTGAGGACGGTGTAGAGCATTGCTTAATTGACTGTGTAGACAACAAATCGCTCCTGTGAGGAAATCCATCGACTCGCGACTGTAATAAAGTTAATTTAGTGCAAAGGAAGTAATCTGCTCAGGTGTGCGGCCCCCCTCTCAGCCGCAAGCAGAACAGGCTTTGCAAGCAGGGTGACGTACTCAGCATTCGCACCAGGACGCAACCCACTTAATGCGGCGGCAGCGCTTCTCGCCGACTTTTTCCTCCCAATTGAACTCGTACAGCCGTGCCGCGGCCGAGAAGTTACGTCTACACCCCGCAACAACAACCCTAGCAATCTTGTGAAAGCTGCAGCGCATATCGTGGGCAGTACGAGGAGTACAGGCTACGCTGCCCATACACACTTCCTTTCCTTTCATATACGTCTCTGCCTCTCTTCCGTCTGCGCTCTAGCAACCCTCGCATCAGACGTCCCTCAGGCATGCACTGCATGTGCCCGTATACATCCGCTGCACCACGTCGCGGCACATCGGCGTACGCCTTGTGGACCATGCTTCGAAAAGGGTGCTATTTTCTCCAAATAAAAGGTCAAATTAATGCTTGGAACTCACCATAAACAGAAGTAATTGTATTGGACTTGCAATCCATCCGCCCCATGGTCCAATACGTTCTGACGGTAACATTTCGTATGGGTCGAAACCGAGATTATTTCCGCTCATATAGTATAGAACCTCTCGCCTAAATCATAGCTAATGTTATAAAGTTGACATACGTATTTATAAAAAAGTAAAAAAAAATTACGGCGCT